AAAAAAAAAAAAAAAAAAAAAACTAAAAACTAAAAACAAAAAAATCTAAATACATAATTAAATCACAAAGGTCAGAGCCCTATGTATTTCTAGCAAGATTATTTTATGTTTTATAATTATTTTAATAGATATTGCATTTAATTTACTGATACTTTATTAATATAGTCTGCATGTATCTTAAGTAAAATAGGTCTAGATTTTTCTTTTGAGATGGTATTCTTATCTTTTTTTTTGTTGTTAAATACTTATTTTTATTGTAGTTGGATACAATACCTTTATTTTATGTGATGCTGAGGATCGAACCCAGGGCCTCGAATGTGCTAGGCTAGTGAGTGCTCTACCAATGAGCTATAACCCCAGCCCTCTCATCTATTTTTATTATTGGGATATTTGCATTATAGAATAATCTAGAGATTATTAGTTCTTTAAAATATTTATTACCTGAAAAACTATTCTTTTTTAAAAAAATAAGATCATAACCACATTTCATTTTTTTCCTTCATCTATAGATCTGTTCAGGGTTTCTGTAATATCTTGAGCCAATTTTGATAATTTAGGTTTCTTAGGATAACTCATTCTCTGTTTGTTTATACATATGCAACTATATGTATGTGTTAACATATAACTTAAATTTTTTAAATCTCCTTGATATATTTAGCTATTCACCTTTCTCATACATAAAGCTGTAACTGATTTATGTTTTCCCCCCTCAATAACTGCCAATTCTGTATTAATTATCCCTGCAAAGAGAACACCCTTGGTTAGAGTCTACTACTTTAGACTTTAGTAGTTCCATTTATTTCTTTTATCATATAAATTACTTCCTACTACTTATTGTATCCATTAGCTTTTCATCACTGTGACGACATACCTGAGGAAATCAACTTAAAGGAAAGATTTAGTGTGGTTCATGGTTTCAGCTGGGTAGCTCCATTGTTTCTGAGCCTGTAGTGAAGCAGTACGTCATGGCAGGGAACGTTAGTGGAGCAAAGCTGCTTACCTCATGGCAGCAGTGAAGAAGAGAGAGAGAGGCCAAGACAACAATATTTACCCTTCAAGGACATGCCACCAGTCACCTCCTTCCTCCAATTGAGCCCCACCTCCTAAAGTTTCTGCCATCTCCCAATACTGCCACCAGCTAGGGATCAAGTCTTCAACACATGAGCCTTTGGGGAACATTCCAGATATGCACTGTAACAAACATCTTAGTGTTTTTTTTCTTTCTTATTTTAATCTTCTAGCTTAAGTTAATGCTTATTTTTTTCCATTATGTATCAATTGCCTGTTACGTGACAGTCATTTTGGTATGGGAAAAGGATGGTGAACAAGACAAACACTGGTTCCTCAATCCAGGTTTTCTTCTTTTTTTTCCCCGCCTCAATCCAGGTTTTCTAAATGCATTGTTTGGGGTTTTCTTTTAGTAGCGCTTTGGTGATTTCCCACAAATTTTCATTTGTAGGCAACACATTATTATTCATCTCTAAATATTTTAACACTTCAGATTTGATTCTCTACCTTAAAATTTTTATTATGGAAATTTTAATATATATGTAAAGATAGTAAAAATAGCACAATGAACCCTGTGTGTCTTTTATGAAGAAATAACACAGCAACATTTTGCCAATCTTGTTTCATCTATTCCTCCCACATATTTTCAGTTACTTACAGGGATACTTTCTAAGGAATGCATCTTTAGGTGATTTCATTGTTATGCAAACATCACAGAGTCTACTTTGACACCTAAGATGGGTAATGATATTACATTAATGTCATTAATGACATTACATTAATGACATTAAGATAATAGGTGATAATATCTTATGGGATCAATGTTGAACATATGGTCAACTTTTTTTTTTTTTTGGTAGATGGACAGAACGCCTTTATTTTATTTGTTTGTTTTCATGTGGTGCTAAGGATAGAACCAAGTGCCTCACACACGTGAGGCAAGTGCTCTGCCACTGAGCTACAGCCCCAGCCCTGTGGCCCACTGTTGACTGAAAAATCATTATGTGATGCATGACTACATTTTAAAGCAAATCATAGGGCATGACATAATTTTACCCTTCAATACTTCAGTATAGATCTCTAGCACATATTTATACACACACCCATAATGCCAACATAATGCCTAACATAATGAACAATTGCTTAGTATCATTTAATACATAATCCATGGTTATATTTACACAATATATAAAAACATTGTCACTAATTTGTCCAAATCAGGATTGGACTGACTACATTTTCTGTACCCTTAATGCTCTGGCAGTTCAGGCCTTGATCCTGAAGACTCCTCCCAAGACTAGCTAATGCATAGATAGCAATAGTTCCCCTGTGAGTAGATCTTTGATATACAAATCAAACAATCCAGAGCCCATATTCCCATCCATGCTTTATCAAACTATATACCACATCAAAACTCCCCAGCTGTAAATTACCCTAGGGCCAGGTACTGAACAACTAGCAATCACCTCTGTAGCACAGAATCTGCCAAAATTATCAAACTATCCACCCTAAACTTACTCAAGTGTCTAGCCTGCCTTACCCATTCCTTCCCCCCAAATAAAACAATAAACAACAAATCACTAATAAATGCCTTGGGGCTTGCATTATCCTCTCTATTTCTGCTTTTACCCAAGTCTTTGGGTGCTTCCCCATATGGCCCTACATGCAAGCCATGCCTCCTTTCAGATAATAGAATACTAGTTTTAAGGATCTGAGAATAAACTTCTTTCTTCAAGACAATAATTTTTATGTCTATCACCATGCCTAATTAAAACAAATCCCAAGTACATTAAAATGTTAAAACACAAGGATACCAATATGTTCCATACACTGTACTTGATATGTCTATTATTCTTGACATAGGATTATGGTTCTTTTTGTTCTTGATATGTATTTTGGTTAAGAAATTAGACCATTAATTCAGGAAACTTTTCAAATTGTGGATTTCCTTATTTGCTTCTTTGTGTCACTAATCTGTTCCTTAGTTCTCCATGTTTCCTGAAAATGGGTAATTAGATTCAGAGACTAAATTGTAATTCTGAAGCAAATTTTTAGGGGAGAGGGTTATTTCACAGGAGATACTTTGTATATTGATTGTATCACATCTAGAAAGGCATAGCTTGGCTGATCTAATTTAGAAATGTTAATGTAGATTAGTGGGTGCTGCCATTCAGCACCACCAATCATAAGCTTTCTATTAATCCTTCACCCATGGTCTTGTATCCATGGATATCTCCACCAAGACCCATTATTTTATAAATAAGCATAATTTTCAAATTCTATCACTCCTTTGAACTTTACCAGCTAGAATTCTCTATTAATAAACTATCCTTCATCAACTTTTGGTTGTTTTGAAATGCAGTTCATAAAGGTAAGGAAAGATTTAAATGTTCCAGTCTTTCCCTTTATTTATCAATAATGCACTAGTGTGCTCCACAGCTGATCAATGCATTTGGTTAGGAAAAAAAGCAATCAAAGGCTACAGTGGTCAAAAAAAAAAAAAAGGACACAGAAGCCAATATGAAGGGAGTCGAACTAGCCTATGTAGCATTTTTTTTTTAAGTTACAAAGGAGTGACTAAACAAACAATGTAGGCAGGCGTGGTGGCACACAATTGTAAATCAGTACTTGGGAGTCTGGGATCACTTGAGCTCAGCAGTTTGGACACCAGCCTGCGGAACGTGGCAAAAAACTCAACTCCAATGGGGCAAAAAATGCAGGAGTTATAATACAGGTGAGTTTAAATTTACAAATAGCTTCCTTTTATGTTATCTTTTGTTAGCCTTTAATTAAATATTAACTAGGACCTGAGAATGTAGATTGTAGAATACCTGTTTTATTAATAAACAGAAAAATAATTTCTCATTTTCAGTATTTTAACAAGAATAAGGGATAAATGTTGGTAGAAGGCATATTTATATTCATTACTTCTATAGTCTTTTTTTTTTTTTGATACCAGGGATTGAACCCAGGAGTGCTTAACCACTGAGAATAGTCTTTCAAGAGAATTCTCAAAAGAGTAATATTAAGAATAATGATAAAACAAAATATAGTGGCTTAAAACAACAGCCAATTTTTAAATTCTTCTATGATTGTGTGCATCAGGAGTTGGGCAGGGACTTAGCTGGTTGAGTCTTCTATTCCACATGGTGTCAGCTGAGGTTACTCAGTGGTGATCAGCTGGTCTAGAGGATCAAAAACTCTTTCACTCAAATATCTGGTGTCTTAAAGGGCATGTCTGGAACACTGGATTCATCAGGTATCTTTCCCTGTATATATAATCTCAGGGCTTCTCCATTTGCTAGACTTTGTTACATGACAGTTCAGAGCTTGAGAAAGTGTTTTAAGAGACGAAGTAACCTTAACAGTAAAGCATGGACCCAGAAACTGCACAGAAGTACTTCTACTATGTTCTACTGGACAAAGCAGTCACAGACTCTGCCCATATTCAAGGGAGGAAATATGGACTCCATCTGTTAATGGGAACAATGTCAAGAATTTGCATCCATTTTTGCTACAGTTTTATACCATCATTTTACAAAGAAGAAACTTCCGCCCAGAGCAGTTGTGTTTTCTTCAGTATAACCAAAAGAAAAAAGTGATGGGATAGAGATAAGTATCTTTCCCACATCGTTATATTAATAGGATCAGTTATAACAAATGTGCTGAAGTGATGGTAGAACATATCAACATAGCCTTTTAATGGTATAAAACCCCTTACATGCCAAGTCAGCTACATTTAGGAAGCAAAAGAGATTATTACATTCATAGAATGTTCTACAACATAGTACTGATAAGATTTTCTTACATTTTTACATTATGAATTTTCAGATGATGGGTAAGGTGTGAATGTTGTCTAAAGGCCTTCTTACATTCTTTACATTCATAGGGTTTCTCACCAGAATGAATTCTCAAATGTTGGATAAGAGATGAATTGAGTCTAAAGGCCTTCCTACATTCCTTACACTCAAAGGGTTTTTCACCAGTGTGAATGCTTTGATGTAGAGTAAGTTTTTGGCGCAATCTAAAGGCTTTCCCACATTCCTTACATTTATAGGGTTTCTCACCAATATGAATACTCTGATGTTGTGTAAGTTGTGAAAGTAGTCTAAAGGCTTTTCCACATTCCTTACAATCATAGGGTTTAACACCAATATGAATACTCTGATGTGAAATAAGTTGTGAGTAACGACTAAAAGCCTTCCAGCATTCCTTACATTCGTAAGGTTTTTCACCAGTATGAATTCTGTGATGGAGAATAAGATGATAACCACGACTAAAGGTTTTTCCACATTCCTTACATTCATAGGGTTTCTCACCAGTATGAATTCTCTGATGGAGTGTTAGTTGCTGTCTCACTCTAAAAGCCTTCCCACATTCCTTACATTCATAGGGTTTCTCACCAGTATGAAGTTTATGATGTACTCTAAGTCCAGAGCCACACAAAAAGTCCTTCCCACATTCTTTACATTCATACAGTCTGTCAGCAATATTAAGCTTTTGATGTCGAGTAAGGTGTGCATACTGTCTAAAGGCCTTCCCACATTCTTTACATACATAGGGTTTCTCACCAGTATGAATCCTCTGATGGAGAGTAAGTTGTCCTCGAACTCTGAAGGCTTTCCCACATTCTTTACATTCATAGGGCTTCTCACCAATATGAATTTTCTGATGTACTCGAAGATCTGGGCCACACATGAAAGCTTCCCCACAATCCTTGCATTCATAGAGCTTTTCTCCAGAATGAAGTCTCTGATGTCGAGTGAGGTGTGCAGTTTGTCTAAAGGTCATCCCACATTCCTTACATTCATACGGTTTTTCACCAGTATGAATTCTGTGATGAAAAGTAAGTTGCTGTCGTACTTTAAAAGCCTTCCCACATTCTTTACATTCATAGGGTTTCTCCACTAATTGAATTCTCTGACGTGGAGTCACAGATGTGCGCTTCTGATAAGCGGATACTTTTTCAGATGTGAGTTTCACTTGACTGAAGTATCCCTCTTGAGGTCCCTCTTGTCCTTCAAATTTTCTTTTGGATTCCCAGTCATTTTTTAAAATGAGGCCCTTAAGGCCATGGTTTTTAATTCTTTCCATTAGCTTCCACTGGGATAAATTTATTTCATAAATGTCATTTTCTGAAGATAACTTCTTGGTCTCACACCTGGTCTCCAAATCTAAAAGAAAAAACAAAAGCACACAAAAGTTTTCTCTTTCTAAAAGAAGTAAAGTTTTGGGGCTGGGACTGTGGCTCAGTGGTAGAGTGCTCACCTAGCATGGGTGAGGCACTGGGTTTGATCCTCAGCACCATATAAAAATAAATAAAAATAAAGGCATTGTATCCAACTACAACTTAAAAAAAGTATTTCATGAGGATGCTGAGAGACTCATTCCAGATGTCAATCTGAGGTCTAGATGAGTAAAAAAAAAAAAAAAGTATTTCAAAAAAAGAAGTTTCGACAGTGGAAACAAGACAAAAGTAATACTCAAACTCTAAATAATATGGGGGAAAAAAGCAAAAAAGGCAAAAAGGAACACCAGGAAAATGAGAGTTCATATAAGACAGGAAGACTAATGGTTAAGCATTTAAGCCAGTGATTTTCAAGTTGAAGTGTGAATCAGAATTCCTGGGGAGCTTATTACAAATACTGAGGCTTAAATACCACCCAAACCATGTGCATCAGATTCTATATTCCCAGAGGAATATTTACTATTCTCCACATAATGATTCTGAAAGAGATGAAACATTAGGAATCCATACTTAATTTTTTCTTTTCAAAAATGTCTCTTTATTCTTAAAATTAAAATTAAGCTCATTGTGGTTAACAAGGCCATTTACCTACATATATCTTAAACCTCTGTTCCCTTTATTGCTACCTGGAAAGGCTTCCTTTTGGACATTACGAAATCTCCCAACTTCTTTTCATCTCTCAGGAATTTGCACAGTCTGCTCCATCTCCCACAAATTTCTTGATGGAGCTCTTTGCATGGCTGGCTCCTTCTCGTCCTAAGCTCTTAGATTAAAAGTCACTTCCTTTGAGATCTACCCTACTTAGTAACTTAGTCTATGCTGTCATTCTTTATTTCTTGCCTTTATAACATATCCTACTTTTTAACACATATACTCACTAAATTTGCCTTATACATGTTGGGCAATTGCATTACCAGTGGCCTTTAGCCCCAGTCCTATTTTTCTTATTTTTACCAATCAATCTCCTCAAGAGCATTAAGTAATGAATCCATAACACATAATTTTACTCACTTTATTCCCATAGTTATATAGTTATTCTGGATAGATTTATCTGCCCCTAGTCTCTCATACTTTCCTGTAATGATTAAATTCTCTCTTCATTCATTCAAGCTTGCTCAGCTAAATAAATAAATGGAAGAAGGTGGCTGCATATGTCCTTATCTATGCAGTATTCTCTGTACTACCCATTTACTCCTTCACATGGCTATGTGTTATTTTTTTGTCTCTACATTATGGCAAAGTTACTGAAGAATTTTATTTACTCAATTTCCCCTTCAGTTTATTATTCATTCATTTCACAAATATTCAACTGGTTTCTTTCTTTCCTCCTCTTACTCAGGTCTCTTCCTTTCTCTCATAGGCAAGACTATTTCAATATTTTCTGGAAACATATTAGTGATTTTTAAAAAATATTTATTTTTTACTTGTATTTGGGCACAATACCTTTATTTTATTTATTTTTCCTCTGGTGCTGAGGATCAAACCCAGGGCTTCACATGTGCTAGGCAAATGCTCTATCACTGAGCCACAGTCCCGGCCCCATACTAGTGATTTTTTGAGACAGGAAATCATATTTATATCTTATTGCAGTTCTTGTGAAATTCTTAGGCAAGAAATAAAAAATGTAACTTACCCATATGCACAACTATATTATGACCAATTTACATAAACATAACTATATTGCCTTCTTCCCCTCTACCCCAGCCTAAGGACATTGTTACCACAATCATGCCTCTCTCCATTGCATTAATTTCCTCTATTGATTCATTTGCATGAGCACACAAATATGCTGTAATATATCATCAAATACACTGCTTATAATCCATATCCTCAATGTTAACTATCAACATATTTCTTAGCACCACAACTTTAACCTTTAACTAAGTACATTTAAAAAAATTTTTTTAGTTGTGGATGGACACAATACCTTTATTTATTATTTTATGTGGTGCTAAGACTTGAACCCAGTGCCACACATGTGCCAGGCAAGCACTCTATCACTGAGCCACAACTCCACCCCCACAACTAAGTACAGTATAAATACAAAGTATTTCCCAGTAAATATCAGATAAATAAACTCTCTAGGCAAAATTCTAGTTTCAGAGTCAATTACAAAGAAGGTGCTTCAGGTCCATTTTAAAAACAATTGAGATTCTTTGAGAAAATTTCATTAGTCTTTCTTTTTATCACCAATTCCTGTTGGTCTTTTGTTGGTAATCCATTTCTGTCAGTATCCTTACAGTCAACTTTGCCTTTTTATTTTAATCATTGGATTCTTGTACAGCTTTTCTAGGCCATATGCGACTAACAAAAGGGGAAATCATAGGGTATATGTACAGCTCCAGAGAAGAATAGGAATGACAATACAAGGAATGCACACCCTGTCCCTGGCTCAAGTTCCTAAACCAAGAGGACCAAGTGGCCAAGGCAAAGTCCACATTTGGGAGGCAGGGAGGAGGACAAGCTGACACCCAGCCAAAAAGCACGTCCAAACAGGATGACAAAGGATTCTGTGTCAGCTTGAGGACATAATGGGATGGGGGAACTTTCAGGGCAGCTGCCCAGAACCAGAGCCTGGCAGCTGGGGCCACGACCTCAAAGAGTCATCTTACATAATTCTCCTAACTGCCTCCCCTATATCTCTCTCATCAACTCACTCTAATCAAGTTTTCATCCTGAAATAAATATTTACAAGGTCATCAGTATTCTCCATCTTACTAGAACCTGAGATCATTTCTCAGTTCTCACTCTACTTCCTCCAACTTGAAACATTTACTATTGTTTTTATTTATTTTCTCTCAGTGAGTGGATATTCCTTCTCTATCTCCTCTGTTGTCTCTGCCTTCAAAGGTCTAAGTTCTCCCATGAATTAGTTCTTAGGATTCTTTTTATCTCCTTTCTTCTATCTGCATCCTTCCTAAGTAATCACATCCAGATCCATGGATTTAATTCTAATCATAAAAGTAAAGATGCTCAAATATATATCCAGCTGTAATCTTTCCTGGCTCCAGATGGACATTTTCAATGACCTATTCAACGTCTCAAACTGAAAAAGTTAAAATATACAAAATCAGAAACTGTCAATGTCAACCTTTCAAGCTGCTTTTCCTTATCTTCTCCTCTTAGATAAATTGTGCTTCTGTTCAACCAGCTTTTTTTAAGCAAATACCTTATTCTCCCTCTCCACTTTTTGTTACTGGGGATTAAGCCAGGGGTACTTACCCACTGAACTACATCCCCAGTCCCCTTTTTTTAAATATTTATTTTTAAATTATAGGTGGACACAATATCTTTATTTTATGTGGTACTGAGGATGGAACCCAATGCCTCATGCATGCTAAGTGAGCACTCTACCACTGAGCCACAACCCCAGCACCTCCCCCAGTCCCCTTTTTTATATTTTATTTTGAGACAAGGTCTTGCTCAGTTGCTTAGGGCCTCACTAAATTGATGAAGCTGGTTTTGAACTCATGATCTCCCTGCCTCAGCATCCCAAGTTGCTGGGATTACAGGTTGTGTGCCATCCTGCCTGGCCCTTTCTCTCCATTCTTTACCACTTACTCCACTTGTAATCTCAGTAGCATATTCTTTTTGTTCTTTTCAGGGTTCTTTTTTTTGGCGGGGTGGTATGGGAGATTGAACTCAGAGGCTACTAACCACTGAGGCAATCCCAGCCCTTTTTTGTATTTTATTTAGAGACATGGTCTCACTGAGTTGCTAAGCGCCTCACCATTGCTGAAGCTGGCTTTGAATTTGAGATCCTCCTGCCTCAGTCTCCAGAGCTGCTTGGACTACAGGTGTGGCCACCACACCTGGCTTTTTCATGGTTCTAAAGATTGAACCTAAAGTACTCCATCACTGAACTATATTCCCAGCTCTTTTTATTTTTTATTTTGACACAGAGTCTTGCTAAATTACCCCAGTTAGCCTCAATCTTGCAATCTTCCTGTCTCAGATTCCCATGTAGCTGGGATTCAGGCATGCACCCACATGCCCAACCCAATAGCATATTCAGTATATATGTATGTATGTGTATGTGTGTGTATATATATGCTATAGATGGACACAATACCTTTATTTTATTTATTTTTATGTGGTGCTGAGGGTCAAACTTGGTGCCTCATGTGTGCTAGGGAAGTGCTTTACCACTGAACTACAACTGCAGCCCTGGCAGTACCTTCTACATGCTATGACTCTAACAGTTTTCTTTTTAGTGGTGGGGTGAATACACCAAAGATTGAACTTAGGGCACTCAACTGAGCTACATCCCCAGCCCTATTCTGTATTTTTTATTTAGAGATAGGGTCTTACTGAGTTGCTTAGCACTTCGCTTTTGCTGAGGCTGGCTTTGAACTCAGGATTCTACTGCCTCAGCCTCCCAAGCTGCTGGGATTATAGGCATGCACCACCGCACCTGGTTTCTAACAGCTTCTTAGTACTTCTTATCTTTGTCAGTCTTATCCAAACAATCATTATGTCTAGTCTGAACAACTGAAACTGGCTCTATACTGATCCCTCAGGCTTTTGCACTCAATCAGAGGGATCATTTTATAATACAAACAATGGCTTCTGATTTTTCTGATTACATTATCTGATCTTTTCCTAACACAGACTTCATATCTCTTGTTACTCTTCTTTCTCCTTCTCTGACCACAATGGCCTTCATGTCATTCCTCAAACACAAAAGGCTGACTTCTTACCCAGAACATTTCCATCTGCTCAGAATGATCTTCTCTCAGAAAATTTTATGGCTTAAACCCTTACTTTATGTCTTTCCTCAAATATCAGCTCCTCAAAAAAACCTTCTCTTGAGGCTGGGATTGTGGCTCAGCAGTAGAGCACTCGCCTAGCATGGGCAAGGCCCGGTTCGATCCCCAGCACCACATAAAATTAAAGTATTGTGTTGTGTCCATCTACACCTAAAAAATAAACATTAAAAAAAATTCTCTCGTTTGTCCAATTTTCCGTATGCATGCAATACTTCAATAAAATTTACTTAAAGGTAGAACAGAAAAGGAAAGGGGAGTACTCATTTAAGATGTCTAACTGTGAGACAATTATTATTTGGGCTAAATGCTTTCTGACTAAACTGTTAACTTATTCACTTGAAATCTCTGCATTTCATTTTCTTTGAATGTTAATACTTGTAAATGTCATTTTACTACCTGAATTTGAATAAGAAAATAGGTTAGGATGGGGGGCAGGGTACTTTTTCTTTGGTAGAAAGGAAATAATGTAGGCACTAAAATTACCTTATTATTATAAAACTAGAGCTATTAGCCTAAAATGATTCTTCTCAGTCAGACCGGAATATACAGAGAACAAAATACATAATATGTATCTCTACACAAAATTTTAAGGAATCTTGTTTAACAAAAGGTATAATGAGAGATGAAAATAGGTCAGAGGTAGAAGCTAAATCAAGGGATTATTGTCCCTATAGTCTATTACATTTAAGTTTCTTCTTAATTTGAAGGTAGATAAATTAAAGAAAATAAGAATGATATTCTGTAATCTGGGGTCTATCTTCTAGTGTAATTCACATGAAACTTTAGTTGCTGATAAAACATAATATTATAACAGCAAGCATATATATTTTCACAAATTAATGAGAAAAGTTGAAAACAAGTTTTCTTCATCATAACTAAAATAGCCTTTCATGGGGCTGGGGCTGAAGCACAGTAAAGTGCTTGCCTAGCATGCGTGAGGTACCAGGTTCGATCCTCAGCACCACATAAAAATTAACAAATAAAATAAAGGCATTCTGTCCATCTACAACTACAAAAAAAATTTTAAATAAAGTAAAATAGCTTTCATCCCATATCATTCTCTAGCCTCTTACTCTTACTTTTCTTCACAGCAATCTCTTTATAGCTGTCATTTCTTTTTTTCCCTCTTTTTTTTTATTAGTTGTTCAAAATATTACAAAGCTCTTGACATATCATATTTCATACATTTGATTCAAGTGGGTTATGCTGAAATTATATTTCTATTTAATTATAGTAACTAGGTTTCTCTTATTACCAGGTAAACTCCACAGGGACAAGGACTTTTTTTGTTTACCATAGTATTGACAGCACCTATAATAGTGCCCAGCTCAGAGGTTATCTATCTATCCACCTACCCATCCATTAATGTAAAAGAAGAAAGAAACAGATTCAAAATATAGAATGGCTGTCAGTAGTGAGGACACAAGAAAAACTGAAAGAACAGAAAAAGAGTGGTAAGTGGATAAAGAAATAGTTCTTTTAGTATCTCCAGCTTTGACCTTAATTTTCTCCCCAGGTCTCAGGCATTTTTCCTTGGGCATTAGACATTTAAAGAAGGCTTTAAACAACATCACAAAAGGGTGTGCCTCCTTCCCATCTAGCGGGTTGCCTTCCCACAGTAACTGGTCCTCACTTACCTGAATATTGTCTTTTTCCTTTCTTCATAATTTTCCAGGGATCTTTTCCTTGTTCCAATAAGGAAATCACATCTGGTTTAGAAATGAAACAGCCTGCTTAGAAGAAAGGAAACAAAGTGATATGGAAATAAAATGTAAATTCAAAATTACTTTGGTTTATCCTGGTTAAATGTGTAATAAACTACAGGTTAAAATGGTAACTGGTGGGGGGCTGGGAATATAGCTCAGTTGGTAGTGTGCTTCCCTTGCATGCAACCAAGAGCCTGATTCACAAGCTAGGCTGTAGCTCAGTAGCAGAACAGTTGCCTAGCATGTGTGAGGCATTGAGTTCAATCCTTAGCACCATATACAAATAAAATAAAGACATTCTATCCATCTACAACTACAAAAAAAATCACATTAATCCAGACGCAGTGTTGTATACCTGTAATACCAGTGGCTCAGGAGGCTGAGACAGGAGGATCGTGAGTTCAGACAGCCTCAGCAATTTAGCGAGGCACTAAGCAACTCAGTGAGATCCTGTCTCTAATAAATTACACAAACAGGGCTGAGGTTCTGGCTCAGTAGTCAAGTGCCCCTGAGTTCATTCACTGGTATCAAAACAAAAAAATTCACATTAAGGTTACAAAATTAATAGAGATTACAGAGGGAGGGAAAAGATCTTTTAAAAATCTGTATTCATATATATGTGTTCCTTCTTCGGAGGAAATCAATGGCTGAGATCATAGATCACACGGTTCAAATCCTGCCTCTTTCACCTCCCAGCTGTGTGACCCTGGGCATGTTACTTCTACATTTCTTTTTCCTTATTATAAATTAGTGTTATTGGGGCTGGAGTTGTGGCTTGCCTAGTGCATGGGAGGCCCTGGATTCAATCCTCAGCACCACATAAGGGAGTAAATAAAGGTATTGTGTCCAACTAGATCAAAAATAAATATTTAAGTAAAATAAATTAGTGTTAATACTGCCTCCTTACAGAATTATTGTGAATTTTACATGAATATATACTTAGACTTAAATATTAGTCATCAGTTATTGTTATTTTGCTGAGAAGAAAACAAGAAGCTTCCTAGGACACATTAATTGTGATTTATTAGGATATTCATACAACATTAATTGCAAAATTCTTAGATTTTTAATTTTCAGTCATAAAAGTAGGTAAAACTGAATGTTTATTTATAAAAGAGATGAGTTATCTTGAATTATCTTGAAATATCTTGAGTTACCTTGAAATATCTTAAATATTTTTTTTAAAGAGAGAATTTTTTTAATATTTATTTCTTAGTTTTCGGCAGACACAACATCTTTGTTTGTATATGGTGCTAAAGATCGAACCCCAGCCACATGCATGCCAGGCGAGAGCGCTACTGCTTGAGCCACATCCCCGGCCCCTTTAAAAAAATCTTGGTGATCCAATTTATCACTATGTAAATTATGTTTTCTTTTGATAGAGAAAAATCAAGACACAGGGTCTAGTTATTCTTCTTACAGGTATATTAATAAAATATCTAAAGCAATTCTGAGTTCAAAAACAAAGTGAAATATTTTCGTTGACACTGATAAGTCTATAAATCACCTAGATTTGAAGGACAGGGAAGCCAAGCATAGCATATTCCTGTAATCTCAGTCTCTTGGGAGGCTGAGGAAGGATGATCACAAGTGTCAGCCCAGCCTGGGCAACAGAAAATCCTGTCTCAAAACATAGAAAGAGCTGGGGATCAGGGCTCGGGCTGTGGCTCAGTGGTAGAGTGCTTGCCTAGCAGTATGAGGCCCTGGGTTCGATCCTCAGCACCACACAAATAAATAAATAAAATAAAGGTATTGTGTCCATCTACATGTAAAAAAATTTTTTTAATTAAAAAACAAAAATGATAGGAAAGATGAATATACTTAATGAAGATGCTCACTTCCAATGAAATAAACTGAAACCTTTCCTTTAAAAACAGGGAGGAGGGCTGGGGTTTTGGCTCAGTGGTAGAGCACTTGCCTATCATGCCAGGCACTGGGTTCAATTCTCAACATCAATTATAAATAAATGAATAAAATAAAGACCTATCAACAACTAAAAATTAAATTAAAATTTTAAATTAAAAAAAAACAGAAGAAATTCAGTTAGTTTTTTTTTTAAGAAGGACACAATATCTTTATTTATTTATTTTTATGTAGTGCTGATGATAGAACACAGTGCTTCACGTGAGTGAGGCAAGAACTCTACCACTTGAGCTATAACCCCAGCCCCTAAATTAGTTTCTTGAAAGACAGTCTTCTCTTTTTTTTGGTACTAGGGTTTAAACCCAGAGATTAAATCTGAGCCTTATGCATGTTAGATAAGTGCTCTGCCTCTGAGATACAGCCCAACTCTTTTTTGTTTTATTTTGAGGCAGATTCTTGCTAAATTGCTGAGGCTGGCCTCAAACTTAAGATTTTTGCCTCAGCCTCTCAAGTCATCAGGCATGCACCACTACATCCAGCTTGAAAGATAATTCTTGAAATTTTCAGAGGAAAAGCTGATGTTAACAGAAGGCACTTAATATAAAGGTAGAGAACCTTACCTAGTGAGACAAAGTTGCTATAGTTTTCCAGCATCACATCTTTGTATAAGTCCCTCTGTTCCAAGTCCAAGTATTCCCACTCTTCCTGTGAGAAGTCTATAGATACATCACTGAACATCACTGATCCCTGAAATGACAAACATTGTTTGTCATATAATTGATACGAAAAAAAATCTTGCAGGAAATGGACTATGATGGCGAGGAAAGAGTCTTGAAAGCTGGAAAGTTGTTAATACACCCAGTTCGGAAATGAGTGTGCCTGAAGCGGAGTACCTACCTAGTCCCGAAGAATCCTGTTGCTACTACAAGGCTGGGGTTGTAGCTCATTGGTAGAGCACATAAACAAATAAATAAAGATATTTTAAAAAAATCCTGTTGCTACAGATAAGCCTCTTACACACTGGTATACCTCAATAATCTAAACAGGTGTGTTTGGGGGGTTTCCTATTAAATGATACCTGAGCCTCAAGTAAATGTTATACTGTATATAAATAAAGCAACTGCCTGTTATATGTCTGCATCATAAGTTCTCAAAAACATGAGTTCTTCTTTCCCCCCTCCTTAAATAACAGATTAAAAACAAAAACAAAAACAACAAACAAACAACAACAACAAAAAAAAAAAACCTCTCTATTTTCTGTCTTAGAAAAGGGATCTGTAATCCCAGAGGCTTGGAAGGCTGAGGCAGGAGGTCATGAGTTCAAAGCCAGATTCAGCAACTTAGCGAGGTCCTAAGCAATTGAACAAGACCTTGTCTCAAAGTGAAATAAAAAAAGGACTGGAAGGCTGGGTTCAGTGGCACATGCCTGTAATCCCAGTGGCTCAGGAGGCTAAAGCAAAGATTGAGAGTTCAAAGCCAGCTTCAAAAAAGCGAGGTTCTAAGCAACTTAGTGAGATAGGGCTGGGGATGTGGCTCAGTGGTTGAGAGCCCCTGAATTCAATCCCTGGTACCAAAATAAATAAATAAAAATAAAAATGGCTGGAAATGTAGCTCAGTGGTTAAGCACCCTGGGATCAATCTCCAGTACAAAAAAGAAAAAGAAAAGGTTCTGAGTCCAGTTAAAGAATTTCTTCTGTTTATATTAAAAATCAGAATATATGACAATTATTAATAATTTTTCCTTGTTACAATTTTTTTTTTTTTTTTAACCAGGGATTGAACCCTCGTGGGGCATTTAACCATGGCACCACAGCTTTATTTTATTTTATTTTTTATTTTGACAGTGTCCTGCTAAGTTACTTAGGGCCTTGCTAAATTGCTGAGGCTGGCTTTGAACTTGTGATCCTCCTGCCTCCTGCCTTAGTCTCCTGAGCTACTGGGATTACACCATGCCTGGCATGACAGATTCGGTACTGGGGATTGAATGCAGGGGCCCTTTATAGCTGAGTCACATTCCCAGCCCCTTTTTATTTTTTATTTATTTTTTAAATATTTTTTAGTTTGAGGTGGATACAATATCTTTATTTTTATGTGGTGTTGAGGATCGAACTCAGCACCCCACGTATGCCAGGTGAGCGCACTACTGCTTGAGCCACATCCCCAATCCTTATTTTTTATTTTAACACAGGGTCTCACTAAGCTGTGGAAGCCTTGCTAAGTTGCTGAGGCTAGGCTTGAACTCACGATCCTCCTGTCTCAGCCTCCCTTGCTGCTGGCATTACAGGTGTGTGCCACTGCGCCTGGCCATTAGCGTGCAACTCTTTTTTTAATATTTATTTTTTAGTTGTAAGTGGACACAATATCTTAATTTTTTTTAATATGGTACTGAGAATTGAACCTAGTGCCTCATGCATGCTAGGCAAGCATTTTACCACTGAGCCACAACCCCAGCCCCTAGTGTGCCTCCCCACATACTGAGGATGAAGCCAAATAACAGCAAATCTTATATACTTGGAAAACTCAAGAATAGAAAAGCTCATAATTTTCCTACAAGTGGTTAAATAGACCTATCTTCTCTCATCAACTCAGAAGGGATGGTAAAATATCTCCTGTGAGCAACTTCATTTCTGTGTCATCACAGCTTTTAGCAGAAGACTGACACATATAGGAGATACTAAAGGATTTGTTCGAATAATACACAATGATTGGGAAAAAAGGTTTCATAGCATTGTGATATTTAGCTTCATCCCTCACTGAATTTAGAACTAGGAGAAAGTTCCTGGATGTGGCTTTGATAGGTGGGAAGTTTCAGAAAAGAAATGTTCACAGGATCTAAACATAAAAGTAATATTTCCAGAAAGAGAAATAAGCAGTAACTTACCCGGGCCATGATTTAGTAATTCAAGAAATGGTAAGTCCTCCTTGGGGTTTGTTTGCCAGGGGAGTAGAATCCACAGAGGCCAGAACTAGGAGGAGGAAAACAAGGACACGAGCTGAGATACACCCTAGAACTCCCCAAATGATGTGAGTTACTATGACTTTTTTCCCTCTTCTGATCTCTCCATCACACACAGATATATACTTACAAGGAGAACTGAGAAAGTCTAGATAAATCTAATCTCTCTTAAATTTCATGGCTGATAAGAGGCCACATGATCTAAACCAGAGTCTCCTTCAAAGTCTGACAACCCTGCTTGGATTCACTAGATATAAAAAGAGAAATTCAGTAATAATAACAACAAAAACAACAACAACAAAAGCTGACAAAATCTGATAAATAAGAAGATGGAAAAAAATCAGCATTTCCTTACAATATTTCCTTTACCTCTAGTTGTTGAAGCTGGACAGTGGCATTTACAAATCCTTTTAGGATCCAGATTTGGAGGAAAGATTGTAACTGAGAAGAAAAAGTTGAAATGATCTAAAAATGAGGTCAGGGTGGATCATAATGGAGGGGAAAAATCTTAACTTTCTTAGTTTTTAATAGGTCTTTGGGAGACTAAGGATGCCCACTAGGCTGAGATGGTTTAATTAGTTGGCAATGCAAAGTTATAGGTCTTGTTTCTTCTTCATTCAAAATACTTGGGCTCATGTCTTGAAGTACTAAAAATTTAATCATCTTTATTATCCCTATTTTTTGACTACACATACACACATGTATCCTTTTTTTTTTTAGTACTAGGAATTGAACTCAGAGGCTCTCAATCACTGAGTCACACCCCCAGCCTTGTTTTGTATTCTATTTAGAAACAGGGTCTCACTGAGTTGCTTTAGCACCTTGCTTTTTGCTGAGGCTGGCTTTGAAGTCACAATCCTATTGCCTCTGCCTCCTGAGCTTCTGGGATTACAGGCATGCACTACTGTACCTGGCATATTATTTTATTAATTGATACACAAAACTTGCAAATTGTATATATCAATGAGGTACCATGTTATGTTTTGATACATGTTTGCTTTATACAAAGGTTAAAACATATTAAGCATATTTTTCTTTTAAGTATACAACATTTCTTCATGGTGAAAACTTTTAAAATCCTTTTTTTTTTATCTTTTTGAAATCTACAATACATTATTTTTATCTAAAGTCACACCAGAACTTCTGCTCCTATCTAACTGTAACTCAGAGCCCATTAGTCAATATTTTCCTGTCCCTTCCCACTCCCAATCTTCTAGTGACCACCTCTGTATTCTCAATTTCTATGAGATCAGCTTTTTAAAATGCCATGTGTGTAAGATCATGCAAGTAATCTTTCTGTGCATGGATTATTTCACTTAATATATGATCTCCAGTTCCATCCATGTTGTTGCAAGTGAGAGGATTTGAATTTTTATGATTGAATAATATTTCACTGTGCATATGTATGTATTATTTACCCATTTATTAGATGATGAACATTTAGATTGACTTTATATCTTGGCTATGGTAAATAATGCTGCAATGAACATGGGAGCACGAGTGTTTCTATGACATACTAATTTCATTTCCTTTGGATATATACCCTCTGGTAGGAATACTGGATCATATGGTTGTTCTATTTTTAATTATTTGAGGAACCTCCAAAATGTTTTCCATAAAGTCTGCACTATTTTACATTCCCATCAGCAATGTGCAAGGATTCCCTTTTTTCCATATCCTCACTCACCAACATTTGTTATTTTTAGTATTTTTTATAGTAGCCATGCTTACTGGGGTGAGGTGATATTTCATGGTGACTTTGCATTTCCCTGGTGATTAGTGCATTATCCTTCTTCTGAGTTTTGCAGTCTCTAGAATTACAAACTCAAGAAAAAATTTCCTTTTTTTAAATTTTTTTTTGTTATCAACAAGCCTTTATCTATTATGTGTGATGCTGAGAATCAAACCCAGTGCCTCACACATGCTAGGCAAAGGCTCTGCCACTGAGACACAATTCCAGCTCAAAAAAAATTTTTTTTCCTTTTATATTTGTATAAACTATCCTGTATTGAGAATTAGCAATAATACTTAGAACTATAGTGTATATTGTCTCTACTTGGTATCTCTGGAGAATTGGTTCCTGGACCTCCTTAGATACCAAAATCCATGGATGCTCAGTCCTTTAAATAAAGTGGTGTCATATTTGCATAGGACCTACGTACCTCCTCCTGTAATCTTTAAATTAATCTCATATTACTTATATTGCCCAATACAAGATAAGTAATTGTTATACTATATCAGTTAAGGAATAATAAAAAGAAATCAGTCCTTACATGTTTCAGGACAGATTCAATGTTTTGAATGTTTTAAATACCAGGATGGTTGATTCTATGAATGCCTAATCTGTAGATATCAGTTTTCTTCATGAATTTCCTCTACAAATTACCTGCTAGAAGCCATAGAAATGATGTCTCTCTATATATGAGTAGTGGAGGGCCCCAAGTGTGACCTTGCTTGGAATCTTCAAATGTCTCCTAAATTCTGGAAAATTCTGGAAATGTGCTCTGAAAATTTTCTATCCAAAAGCCAGCTTTCATTCACAGGTCTCTGCGAAAGCAAAGTGATGGGCCTGATGATGAGAGCTTTAAATAATGAGAAGGGGATAATCTGAAGAATGATTTCTCTCAAAGGAAGAAATAAAGAAGGACAAGCTTTTTAGGTAAGCAAGCAAGGCTTAATGTGGAGACATCCTGAAAGGATCTTACATGAGATTTAGCTTGATTTTGTTTGTGTTGAAAATGAATATTCACACAGGTTTTATATTAATGATGGTGAGAAAGAGTTTTGATTGAGTCATAAGGATTAAGCCTGATGGCCATTACCACTGCAAAACTGAGGCACTGGCAGCCCAGCCTGTCAGCAGCCAGGACAACAGCTTCCAAAATCCTTTGGGCTCATCCTATTTTCAATGAGAATTACCCACACTGTTTTCCTGCTGACTTCATTTACCATTCTCTTTCTCACAACCTAGAGTGAAGAAGTGTGGATAACTAGACAATAAAACATATCCAACTATCAAGAACTTCCGCTTTCCAGTCCCCTTCTTCCTCCAGGGAGAAGTCTTTTCTGCTGTCCTTTAATAAAGCCTTCTATTTTCTACTCTAAAAAAAAAAAAAAAAGAACTTCCAACAAGGGTGGTGACAGATGCCTGTAATCCCAGTTATTTGGGAGGCTAAGGCAGGAGAATCACAAGTTCAATCCAGTTTGGGCAACTTTAGTGAGACTCTGCCTCAAAATAAAAAATAGAAAGGACTAGGGATGCAGCTCGGTGGTAAAGTGCCATAGGGTTTCTCCTTGGTTAAAACAAAACTAAACTTCTAAGTAATGGGTGATTTAACTGAATCTTCAGGACTGCTATTTAGTATGATATCCTTTTTAAAAATATTTTTTAGTTTTTGATGGACCTTTATTTTATTCATTATTCATATATGGTGCTGAGAATCGAATCCAGTGCCTCACACATACTAGGCCTTTGAGCCACAACCCCAACCCTTTAGTATGATATTCTATCCATTCAATAAATCAGAAAATTTGAAACCACTGGGAGAATGTAGCAAAGCTGCATTTGAAATCCTTATTTTTCTAACCAAAAGCCAGTTTTCATTCAACTCTAGCCTCTGAAACACAGAATTTCAATTCCAGTGTGAGAAGCCTGGCATGCATGATTTGGGGGATTAAAGAAAATAATTATACACATGGTCAAAGGTGTATGTAAAAGTATACTGACATTGTTTCTAATGGGAAAAAGTTGGAAAGAACCCAAATGTCCTTCAGTAGGAAATAGATTAAATAAATCATAAAGCACCTATAGAATAAAAAAGAATGGGAATACAGCTTAGCAGTACTGCACTTGTGAGGCCCTGAGTTCAATACCCAGTCTTGCAAAAAAGAAAAAAAAAACTATTATAATTTTAAATGATAATGTATATCTTTAACTTAAATATGCTTACTACATTTTACTGAGTGAAGAATCCAGATAATAAAAGAGTTATAAGTAGTGTATTTGTGTTTTGGCAGGACAAAAACATTTATGTGTATGTATATTTACTTTAGTTCCCAATATCTACATCTATACTATGATTTCTAAGCTTGTTTACATACATTGGAGTTTTGCCTATTACAGAATGACTAACCATAACTAATGCCTTGTTTCAATGATGTTGCTTTTTATGATTTCTTGACTAATACATTTATCTTTCTTCTGAGTCATTTTAGTCATGATGCACTCCAAAGAGCTGCTGAATTGTCTCATTCTGTCTCACTCTGCATCCATAGTTGAGCATAAAAACTTTAAGGCACAGCTGGGTGAAGCAGTGCACACCTGTAATCCCAGCAATTTGGGAGGCTGAGATGGGAGGATTTTAAGTTTGAAGCCAGCCTCAGCAACTCAGTGAGACCCTGTTTAAAATAAAAAATAAAAAGAGCTGGGATATGGCTCAATAGTTTAAAAAAAAAGAAAGAAAAAAGAAATTTATCCTTATGAAATGTATGTAAAAGTAAACAAAGATGTATATGAAAAGAAGTTCATCAAAGAATAATTTATGACAACAAAAATCACCTAATGATAGGCAACAGGTTGAATAAATTATGTTTTATGATATAATAGCACATTAGGCAATTATTAATGATGATGGCTCTGGTCCATATTAACTAATGAAGAAAGATATTCCTCACAAATTACTAGGTATGATAGACTAAAGAATATGTGTGTGTGCGCGCACACACACACACACACACACACACACACACAAAGAATATGCACAATGTCAGGAGGAGGAAAACTCTCATATATCAAAAACAGTCTTTCTTGTCAGCATTCAGGATATGAGTCTAAGCTCTGACAGTTATTTTTTGTATTTTTATTTTATTTTTGTACTAGGGATTGAACCCAGGAGTGCTTAAGCACTAAGCCACATCCCCAATCCTTTTTTATATTTTATTTAGAGTCAGGGTCCTGTTGAGTGGCTTAGGGCCTCACTAAATTGCTGAGGCTGGCTTTGAACTTGCAATCCTCCTGTCTCAGCCTCCCCAGCCTCTGGGATTGTGGACATGCACCACCTGAATATTCTTTTTAGATATACATCCCAGGCAGGAGGATCACGAGTTCAAAGCCAGCGTCAGCAAAAGCGGGGCACTAAGCAACTCAGTGAGATCCTCTCTCTAAATAAAATACAAAATAGGGCTGGGGATGTGGCTCAGTGATCCTGTGTCCCTGAGTTCAATCCTGGTACCAACAAAAAGATATACATGATACATGACAATAGGGTGTACTTTCATATATTATACATACATGGAGTACAACTTCTCATCCTTGTGATTGTACATGATGTGGAATGATACTGGTCATGTATTTATATTAGCTCTGAGAATTTGGACATGTAACAACTTCATTGTCTCTGCTTCCTCATGGATAAATTGTCGAATAATAACTACATACCTTATAGGATGAGGTTAAGAACATAATACATGCCAAGGGTGGGAGAGCATGCCTGTCATGCCAGCTACTAGGGAGGCTAAGGAAGGAGGACAGCAAATTCAGGGTCAGCCTAGGCAACTTAGTGAGACCCTGTCTCAAAAATAAAAATTTTCAAAAAGGGCTTGGGCCGGGGATGATGGCTCACACCTGTAATCCTGATGGCTGGGATGTTGAGGCAGGAGGATCACGAGTTCAAAGAGAGACTCAGCAACTTAGCGAGGGCCTAAGCAACTCAGTGAGACCCTGTCTCTAAATAAAATACAAAATAGGGCTGGGAATGTGTCTCTTGTGGTTAAGCACACCTGGGTTCAATCCTGGCTCTAAAAAAAAAAAAAAAAAGTGGATGGGGAGCTTAGGATGCAGTTCAGTGCTAGACTACTTGGCCAGCATCCATGGCATGAGGCCCTGCGTTCAATCCCTAGTACCAAAAAACTAAACATTCTCAGATATTACAATCTTTAATTTTACGGCAATGGATGTGTATCTTCTGGGGTCATGTTAACCTTATTAAATTACAGAATTTGTCTCCAAAAGAATGGCATATTAACGAGTATCTACAAAAAATTTTTACATATAGTTTCATAGGGTGTTTAGTCTGCTGAAAGACTTAAATAGTTTCAAATTACCCTGGTTAAAAATTCTTGTTCAGGGCTGAAGTTGTGGCTCAGTGGAAGAGCTCATGTGTGAGGCACTGGGTTCAATTCTCAGCACTGCATATAAATAAATGAATAAAATAAAGGTCCATCAACAACTAAAAAAAATTTTTTTTAAATAATTCTTATTCTAGGGCTGGGGTTGTAGCCCAGATGTAGAGCACTTACTTGCCTAGCATGCGTGATACACTGCGTTCGATTCTCAGCACAATTAAGATATTGTGTCCACCTAAAACTAAAAAATAAATATTTTAAAAAATATCTATACATATTTTAAAAAGGATTTTTGTTCGAGCTAATGTTTATTATCTACTTATTCTAAGAGTTCATAATTATAAAAAAATAGCCCACAAGGCTGATGTAAGCTCAGTGGTAGAGCACTTGCCTAAAATGTGTGAAGCACTGGGTTCAATCCTCAGCAACACATAAAAAACAAACAAAAGATGTTATGTCCATCTACAACTAAAAATACTTTAAAAAAAATAAAATAAAGCTGACAGAATTACTGAAAGCATTTCAAATGGATACCCGCATAGAGGCACTAGGTAGCTAGCCTAGGTAGCAGTTCAATGAAGGTAACTTTTAAAAAGAAGAGACCACAGTATCTCAAAAATAAATAAAAAGAGAGAGAGAGAGAGAAGGGAGCAAATGTTCCTATGTCCTAAAAAATAAAAATGCACTTCACAGAACAAGGGGAAACTATTCGCCTTGACCTTGACTTTTAAACGGTAAACGACAATTCTTTCCTTTTCCTTCGAGGCACGTGAGGGACGTACAAGTTCAGCAGAACTGGGAAAGAAAGAAATCTTAAAATCCAGGCCTTTCTTGGAGCCCAGCCTGTTTAAATGAGGTCACAGAGCCACGACCGCATATGCCTCTACCCAGTCACGCCTACACTTATTCACCTATTCACACCAATTCAGAAATCTTCCCTGTACCCATGAAAGGCAGGGGTCACGGATACCCAGGGCTCGACTGCAGTTCATAATAACTTCCTGGAAGGCACTATGGTTCTGAAACCTGCAGTTGGACCCCCATCCCCAGAACTGAGTGTGAGGGCGTGGGAGTCTGTCCGCGCATCGGGACGTGATATGGTGGGAGTCCTCCCAGGAGCCAGTCCCTACTGGTGGACTTCTAACATTCTTATCTCAAGATCAGGTCAGAGCCCTTTAGCTGGGAGTCTTTCCCCTGGCGCTCAGAAGATGACTGGAGGGGCCATTTCACTACTCTGGGTTGGGTGTGGCTATACGGCAGATGTCACTGGGGTCACAGTCATACTCTCCACGGCCACAGCAACTTGGCTCACACAAGAATCTTTGCATCCAATTGGGTCAAACGCCATCACGTACCAGTCCCGAGCTCAAAACCGCTCCGAGTCCGGCTCCAAACCCAGGTCCTGTCACGCCCACCGACACAGCCACACCGCCCTTCTCACCAGCGGCCCGAGGCAGCGCCATACAGTGCCTCCCTTCCCTCTCCTTACCCCCCGCGCCGCAGCGCCTTTGTTACGTAATGGCTAGGACCGACACTCCGGGACAGGACTGCTCACTTGTGGCGCCAAACACGTCTCAAGGTGATGCCCAGCCCAAGCGAAGACGCTCGGCCGGGAACTGTCTACAGCCCAAGGGGCCTAACGGGCCGCACGCAGGGGTTGTTGGGAGGGCCAGCCGCGCGCGCTGAGTGCGCAGGCGCGCCTGGACAAAGGGGGCGGGCCCAGGCGCGCCCTGTAAGCCTGGGAGCTAGTTCCGCCCCTGCTAGGGTGCGCTGCCCAGTCCTTTGTCTCAAACCGTGTGCTGGCGGGGCGTGGAGAGGGGCGGGGACCGACTGCCTGCGTGTTGATGAAGTAGTGAAGTTTGAAAACGTGACACTCGGTGCGGCCTGCTGAAGAGCTCTGTCCAAGGAAGCGCTGTGTCTGCCCTTGGAGTGGTTCTGATGTGATTCGTCCTGTGTAGTTTGAGATTGAGACAGTGTTTCTGGGGTAACCAGAATTACATATGTGAGGGAGGTTTTATGAATTGTGTGTCGGGCTCTGTAGGACTGAGTGATGTGGGGGTCTGTGGGATAATAGGAGTTAATGAGTGCATGAGATCGTGTTTCTGTGGAATTGTCTGTAACTCACTATGAACATTTATGATAGGTTTGTCTTTGTCAGGTCGTCCCTGCTGTGCACATCGCTGGTGTGTTCCTATGTGAAATTCTTTTTTTTTTTTTTTTAAAGTGGTACAGAGGACTGAACCCAGGGGCACTCTACCAACTGAACTATGACCCCAGCCCATTTTTTAAATTTAATTTTGAGACAGGGTCTTACTAAGTTGCAGAGGCTGGCGTGGAACTTGGTATCCTCTTGCCTCAGCCTCCCAAGTCGCTGGGATTGCAGTTTGTGCCCTTGTGCCTGGCCTATCTGGATATTTTGATGTGACCAAGATACATGTTCTCCTCAACTCTGATATGGAGAGAGGAGTGCTGCATCTGCAAGGAGCATCAATTATACTGAAGGATTCGATTTGAAAATGTTTTTAATTATTTATTTATTTTACATATAATCACGGGTATAATATGCAAATGAGCATAACTTTTAAAATAAGATTTTTTTAGCCAGGTGCATTTTAACTTCAAGTTCAAGCTGCCTCTTTCAAAAACATAAAAATGCTGTATTTCTCAGTCTAGAAATCAGGAGGAAAGAGGTATAAGTAACACACATAGAAATGTCTACTTAAGCCCTCTTTGTCTTATTTCTAATAAGAATGGAAACACATTGGTTACCAACAATATGTTCTAATTTTTGTTTAATTGAGGAGATAAGGAACTCAGTCAAAGGATATTGGATTCCACACAGAATGTTGTCACCAACCAGCATGGGCAGCTGAACTAAGGAACACCAAATAAAACCCAGACACAATTTACCTTTGCACAAGCTTCAGGAAATCTTCCCTGGCTCTCGGCCTCAGGATCCCCAAAAGAGAGAGCAAGAGAAAGTCACTGACAATAGAGAGGGAACACGTTCAGAAGTGAGCTTTTATTGGGGAGACTCCTGTTCCTAAAAAGTTCTATCCAAAAAAGGTCAGAAGGGGCAGGACTGCAAGGGAACAGGTGAGTGTAACTTGGGAGACCAAGTCACAAGTCATGGCACTACTGCGCCAGAGTACAGTGATCTTTCAGATCCCCTTGGTGCATCAGGATTGGAAGGCGAGGTTACTCAGTGTGGCTCCCCACAATAGAAAATCTTAGCAGGCAAAGATAGAGAGCCAGGAAAAATGTCCCAAATAACAGAATTTGTGTGGTGAGATCACCTCTGGCATAAAGAGCACTGAGCTAGCAGAGTAGGCATAGTCATAGTCTGCTGTAGGGACCACGAAGAAGTTATGAGTAGTGTAAGTTTTAACATATTTCACAAGGCAATAAATCATTTCTCTTATGATATATAAACATGAGTAGGGATGAAAATAGGAAGCAGAAATAATCCTAAAAAAACTGACCCTTCTGTCCATAAAAAAGAAAATATAGTGAAAAGAAAAAATCCTGTCTAACACTGTCACCAGGTCTTTAACATGCAAAAAGACAAAAAAATCAAACAAAAAACAGATGTAAATATTGTAAGAAGGGTGTATCATCTTTATTTGCAGATATATGATGGTAAAACCTGAGAATTTATCATCTTATAACTAATACCTTATGAAATATATTAAAATTTCAGACATTACTAGCATATTTTAAGTATTGTGCAGCATTACATTAGAAGGTATTTTATTAGCTACAAGAGGATGAGAAAAATGAGGAATAATCAAAGAAATTTCACAACATATGTATTAATGGATATTCATTAATGGATATTCATCCATTCAATGTCAACTGTGCAGTCATTTGGGGTTCTCTGTATTTAAATAAAATATAAAATTCAAAGAATAAACCCAATGAGTTTTTATTCAAATTGGATAAAACAACTTAAATTTTATGGAGAAACATCTGTCTTTATTTCCAAATAATAACCTATATATTAATATTAATAATATGCAATATTATTTATTTCCAAGCAATGAAAGTGTTTGAAAAATTTAAGTCAAATATTGATGGAACAAAGAAAATAGAAATAGATATGAGGATAAGAGCTATAATACATGTCATAGTATTTTAATGTTCAGTAGGAAAAAATGAATAATTTAATAGTTGGTTCTAGCACAATTCACCTTATTTCTGGATGGAAAAATATTGACATCCTGTATCATACTGTGAACCAAAATCAATTCCAGATAGATTAAAATGTTAAATCTATATGTCTGTATACACAGTCACAGAAAACTGCACTTGGCTCCTTTATTCCCTGGCTGTCCGAAATTTTCTATAAGCAAAACTTTTCTAAGAAACAGAAAACACTGGAAACAAGACTGGGAGTATAGCTCAGCAGCAGGTCTTGCCTGGCAAGCACAAGGTGCTGGGTTCGATCTCCAGAAACACACACAGAGAAAAAGTAAACATTGGAAATAGCTTGGGAAACAAAATAGATAAGAATATGAGAAAGTTTATTGTAGCATTACTCTTTGCTATTTTTTGTTTTATTTTTCTTTTTCCAATCCTAGGGACTTAAACTCAAGACCTTGCACATTCTAGGCAAGTACTCTTACTACTGAGTCATATTACCATCCCAGAAGCATTACTTTTAAAATATAAAGAACAGAAGACAATCAGAAATAACAATTGGGGAAATGTTTGAAGAGGCAAAGGCATACATATACTGTGGAACATACTGTAATTATTAAAGACTAAGTTATCTATTGAATTGAAGAAAAAAATTAAAAATGTAATTGAATGTAAAAAGGCAAATTCCAGAGAAATATATAAAGTATTGTCCATTTTTTTAAATTTATTTTTTTAGTTGTAAATGGACACAATACCTTTATTTTTTTTATGTGGTGCAGAGGATCAAACCCAGGGCCTAGCACGAGCTAGGCGAGCGCTCTTCCGCTGAGCCACAATCCCAGCCCTATCCATTCTTTTAAATATAATGATTTATTTGTGTATTATGATTTGAGCATAAAGAAATTCATGAAGGGAAAGCTTTAGGCATTATTCAAAGTGAACAGCTATGGAAAGACAATAAGGAATGGACAGGGACAGAGATTGATTTTTTTTCCTTTTCATTTAATGGCACTGTTTCATTGACTTAATATAAAAGTGTAATTTTAGATGATGACTTAATCCTCCAAATATGCACATAAAACAAAATAGAAATGCATTTGGCAATTCTCATTGTTTACCAGTTTTCTTTGTGATAACAATGTGAAACATTAGACCAGAATCATCTGTCTGTAATAATTCTCCCATCTGCAGGTATTTTTGTTCACTCTACATTTCGCAAACTCATTATAAAATTTCACTTTTTTTTTTTTGGTTCTGGGAATTGAACCCAGTGATTAAGGGGTGCTTAAGCACTGAGCCACATCCAAGTCATATATATACATACATACATACACATACACACACACACACACACACACACACACATATATATATTTTGAGACAGTGTCTTTCTAAGTTGCTTAGGGCCTTGCTAAGTTGCTGAGGCTGGGTTTGAACTTGTGATCCTCCTGCTTCAGCCTCCCAAGGCTTTAGGATTACAGGTGTGGCAAAATTTTACATCTTGAGAGCTTGACTGGAGGTTCTAGCAGGGGAGCGCAGCTACTCATATAACCTTGACCGAAGAACAGTCTATCAGGGAAGGTCATCCTCTTCAACCCAGCACACAGCTTTTGGAGGGATGCACATGGAGCGGTGAAGGAGGAAAGGGACACCCGCTTAGCCAGCCAGATCAGCTGACTCAACCCTGGCGATCAATGGGGTGACAGATAGATGTCACAGCCAGATCGCCCTCACATCCAAAAATTTTACCTCTTTAAAACTGTAAAAATAAAGTAATTCAATGTCCAAAACCTCTTACTGCCAAGTACACATGAGGCTTGGGATTTAATAGCAAGTACCACAAAAACAAAAACAAAACAAAAATCCTATTTACACAGAATTTAAGAAAAATTAGAGTGGTAGGGTATGAAAGGATGGACCTCTGGCAACAATATACGGATTTCCCTTCCCCACAATAGTTACCTGTCCGGTAAACCAGACAGCTATTTGCTAAGTATGAAAACTGGGGCACAAGAAAAGCCCATCTCAAAACATTAACTTAATCCTAAATAAAGTCCAACTGTGGGTTAAAAAAAAAAAAACCAAGAAATAAAAATTTAAGGAGTTGGGTGTGATGCCACAAGTCTGTAATCCCAGTAACTCAGGAGGCTGAAGCAGGATCCCAAGTTGGAGGCAAGCCCAGGGAATTTAGGGAGACACTCTCTCAAAATAAAATGAAAAGGGGTGGAGATATAGCTTAGTGGTAGAGCACCCCTGAGTTCAATCTCTAGTATCACAAACATCTTGATTTTTTAATAATTTTTTTTAGTTGTTGATAGACCTTTATTTATTTACTTATTTTACTTATATGTGGTGCTGAGAATCGAACCCAGGGCCTCATACATGCTAGGCAAGTGCTCTACCACTGTGCCGCACCCCAGCCTGACAACTTGATTTCTTAAGGTACTTTTATTAGGCTTCTGAACTACAATGGCAGAGTTGAGCAGTATCAACAGAAATATTATGGCCCACAAAAGCTAAAATACTTACCCCCTTTCTTGCCCTTTATGGAAAATGTCTGCTGACCTTTGGTCTAGAACACAATATATAATTCCATTGATGTATTTGATGCAATTGCAAAATTAAGACAGTCAATAGGTTAACCCTAAAAAGTTTTATTTTCATGTATGTATTACTCTACAGCATAAGAATGGTAACTGACATGATGCTTAGAATAAGTAAAAACTGCTTATAGAGGAAAATATTAGAAGTAGAACAAGTCCTTACCTTGAAAAAAGAAAAAAACCCTTCATATTTGGATTCAGCTATTTCATCTCTGGAAAAAAAATTTCAGCTGGAAACTGTTCACATCTATGAAACTTTAGGGAAATTACCTTGTACTGTACTATTTCTCCCCATGCCCCCAAACCTTTATGGGGCCAAGGAATTTGCCCTGTTAAAAGCTCCTATTGTGGGGCTGGGATTGTGGCTCAGTGGTAGTGCTCGCCTAGCACCGG